ATCTATTAATCAATTCAACTGTTAATTTCATCCAGAAATAACCTTACACATAAACCCAGAAATAATGTTTCACCAAATGTCTGTGTACCCCATAGTTCAGTCAATTTAACCCATAAAATTAAATGTCACAGAAATCAATTATATACTTGCTTAACTATAAGAATATGAAAGTTTTTCTGCTTCTCCACATTCCTTGAATAGATCAAATTTTAAAAGTTTGGTAGAAGCCAGGCATGGTGGCACATGCCTGTAATTCCAGTGATTTAGGAGGTTGAGGCAGGAGGATCACAAGTTCAAATGCAACCTCAGAAAATTAGCAAGGCCCTAAGCAACTTAGTAAAACCCTTCCTCAAAATAAAATATAGAAAGGGGTTGGGATGTAGTTCAGTGGTTAGGTGCCCCTGGGTTCAATCTCTGGTATTGAAAAAAATTGGGGGGTAAAATTGTCTTGGACTTCACACTTTCTCGTGAGAGAAATTTAACCAATTTTTCTGTTTCTTCTGTGCATTAGGTCTGTTTGTACTTTCTGTCTCTACTAGTATCAGTTTATGAAAGTTGTGGTTTTCTAGACACTTAGAAATATCATGTGTGTTTTCAAATGTATTTGAATAGAGTTATGCAAATTACTCACTTAGGAATCTTGAAATTTTGTTTTCATTGGATTTTTATTTCTTTCCTGTTATTTTGAACCTTATATATTTTCTTGGTTAATTTTTAAAATTAGTTTTCTTTATTTTCAATTATCTTTATTGACTTATTCATTGCTTTTTTAAATTTTGCTGACCATTCAAAATAAGCTTGTATATGTTTTATAGTAGTTTTCCCCTAATTCATTCATTTCTAATTTTTCATGTTAGGATTCTTTCATTCTGTTTTCTTTGAGTTACACTGTGGTTGTGATATTGAAGATTTGATTCTATGCCACTAAAAGTGAAATCAAGTCAAGTGAATGCAACCATATTGGCAAGGTTTTAATTGGGGTTCACCTGAATGGAGACAGCACTGATGGACAGGGGATCAGGCTTTTCTGAGAAAAGGGAGACATAAGCTTTTATTGATTCCTAGAGTGGGTTAAAATCTGGTAACTTTTTATTGTTCAAGGTACAGGTTTAAAATATTTTTTAAATGAAGAAAGTCTAACCTTGATGAATAGGTGATTAGTTTATACCAGAAACTGCCACATTTCTTTTGTCAGTGCTGCTGTCCTGCACATTTTGGCCTTGTGATAAGAATGGGCTGTAGACACTGAGAGAGAACATAGGTGAGGGTAGAAGAAAACACATATAATGCATTTAAGCAGTAAAAGATTAAGGGCCCAGCAGTTTGTTTCACTTCTGTTCTTTGGTGGTAATCCCCAACAGTTTCATTCTCTCATCTAGATTATTCTTGGAGACTTTATGGTAAAGTCATACAACTTTTCATGATGCACTAGTCTTTATTTTGGAAAGTGAGGGAAGATAAGGAGAATGCATACCATAGTTTCAATGGATACTAGGTCATGAATTAGGTTAAACAATAAATGCATTTATTCCTCTAAAAACAATATACCATCTTTTCTAATTACAGTGGAGACTAAGCTACGTAGTATAAACTGTGTGTGGCACAGGATGAAAAAAATTAGAAAGAATCTAAATTCTCATGAAGAAATAAGATATTTAAATAAATTCTGAAGCATGTTATGTAATGCAATTTTTCTAAAACACATTATAAAGGGAAAGGAGTGAATTGCAGAGAAAATCAAATAATATTACCCTGGATTTAGGAGTGAGTTCTGGACATGGGGTATACATAATGGAGTCATATTTATATGAATTTTATCCCAAGGAACTAGTTGAAATAATTTACAAGTGAGGAAAGATGGGGAAGTTTTGGGATCCAAGAATTAAACCCTGGATACTACAGTATTGGAGGGTCAGGAATACATTTTGCACGTTTGTGCTCTAACAATGACATTTTGTTAAAACTGTCACTAATATGTAATATTATCCATTCTGTTTAAAAATATTTCAAACATTGAAAGGAAAAGAAAATATATGATAGTTATATGTATGCTCACCTTCCATATCTAACACACTTTAGCATTTTGCCAAGTTTGATTCAGACATTTTTGGTTTTTAAAGAAATGTATTGTAGATTCAATGAAAAGCTCATTATCCATTCTCTTCCCTAGTTCCCTAGAGATAACAACTATATGTATACTTTCCAATTGGTTACTTCTACTTTTATCTTTTATGCTTGTATTATGAATAATGTAAGGTATCATTTTATATGCATAAGATTCAGCTTTGGAGTACATTATACTGATTTTGTCTTGTTGCTATTTGAATTGTTCTCACTTGAAAATGCTTTAGAGATTCACCTATTTTAACACATATAGATATAACTCATTCATTTCAACTGTAGCATAGTATTTCATTGAATGAATATACTATTTTTGTGCTGGTTTATAACTCCCACATCAGTGAATTTGGATTCACATTGGCAGCCAAACTCATAAGACTCATCTGGTGCCAACTGGTACTAGGTTCATTTGAATTTGTAATGAGATAAAATGGAAGACATTGTCAAATATGCATATCTTTTTAGCAGGAGAAGTTCTTAGAGATCTGTCTAGGGGTTGTTCTTCGCATGTTCTGTCCCCCTATGTGAGTGTCTGGGTATAACAAAGATACCACAAAGAGTGTGGAGGAAACCTGTTTACAAGCACCATGCCTGAAAGAAGTCAATGTTTTATAAAGCCTATGAGTGTCACCTGCAGGTGTCATAGCAGTAATGGACACAGTCAAAAACAGAAGGGTTCACTGATCCGTAGTCATTTTTTGCCATAAGAAATGTCTGCACTGGGAATGTAGCTCAGTGTTAAGGCACTTGCCTAGTATGTGAAAGGCCCTGGGTTGAATCCCCAGCACTGAAACAAACAGAAAACAAAGAAATTTTGTCTACTTATACCAATATCAAGTTTCCATAAAAAAGTATTAGAAAAAAAAACCCAGAGATTATTCCCCAGAGAAGCAGAAATATTTTTGTTGATCTTTATTTTTATATTCATTGTTTATTGATGACATTTTAGATTGCTTTTTGTTTTATTCCTTTTTTGTTTTCTATTTCAGTGTTGCAGTAAATACCTCCATTCTTGGCATCATCATAATACTTAAATGTATTTTTAATATTTAAAAAAATATTTTAAAAACACACTGATAGGTCAGTTTCCAATTCCTTGAATCATATTCAAGTCTTATCTTTTTCTCTTCATCTACATGCATTGTTAATTTAAAAATGTGTCTCCTGTGAATTTTTGCCCATGTTATATTGGGTATGTTTCTGCCTATAATTTTTGTAGCTAATATGTGATAAGTGTTAATTATTAGTCTTAATTATTAATGAGTTATATTCTTTTATGATACAATAATCAATAAAATGAAATAAGAATTTATTTAAATTTCTTCCTCTGTGTACTGTTAACAAATTTTATTCTTTTTATTATTCTGTTATAGGAGCTCTTAATGGATTAAGAACCATACTTTTTAACTAATACTTAAACTAATCATTTCAACTGATATTTATTAAGTGTGCATTATTGGCCAGGATTTCGAGCCAAAATCTATATTGCAAATCTTTCTTCTGAGAACTAGATGCTTATATTTACTAGACATGTCTACTTGGAAAAACAAAACTATTAGTACTCAGTCACACATTAATGGATTGTCAAGGGGAAATTCATACACAGTTCAAAAACACTTATCCTTAAGTGTGAGCATGTTAAGTGGTAGTATTTAATAGAAGGGAAATGCAAAAATTTCCATTATGTGTTAGCTTGAGTCTCATATCTACATGCTGAAGTGATTTCTCAGAGAATTTAGGAAAAAAGAAAACAATCATTTAATTATTTGGATAGTGTTGGAAAAGAAAGCTATCACTCTATTTCACTTTATTTTATATATTTTCCCATTCCACTTAGTATATTCTATATTAATTTCTCAAGAATAATATGTATAACTGACCCAGGAATAAAAGAAGATTTGTGAGTGAACATTGCAACACAAAGCACAGGGGCCAGGGGCACCAAGGGGCTTTTGGCAAGACATTACCATTGCGGGGAAATTACAATTACATGTAAATCTACAATAATGTTTAGAATTTTTTTTTTTTTTGTAAAGTTAGTCTTCTTGTCCAGGGAACTAGGAAAACTGACTCTATTGACCCTAGGCCACATTCAATCATTATGCTAGTGAATTTCTGTGAATTATCTTAGGATGAAAATTATCTCAGGATGATTTATCCCCAACAATCTGAATTGTTGTGTACTCACCTAGCATCACCTCTAGTTTAATATTTCCCAACATTTTAAATTTTAAAATAATGCCTTGCTATTACTGATAACTTATGTCAAACTAGTCTAGAATAGGTTTAGTAAACTTATTACTTTTCTAGCGCTAATTAAAACACCACACATTCGTTCTCTTACCGTTGTAGGAGTCAACAATCTCAAATCAGTTTTATTGGACTGAAATCAAGGTGTTGGCAATGTCTTCCTCCTTTTTTAAGGATCTGGGGGGAATTAGACAAAGGCGTTTTGCAAAGTGGTTGTGAGCTTCAGGAGCTGAGCGTTCTTGTTAAATAACGTACTTCTTCTGATTTGCTGTCAAACCTGATGAAAATGGGCATCTGAGAGGGATGATGTGAGAGGATGCTGTTAGGTGCACCAGGTAATGCACCTGGGGTCAGGTTTTCAACTCCTCCTCCTTTTCTGGGTGTACACAGAGAGAGAGAGAGAGAGAGAGAGAGAGAGAGAGAGAGAGAGAGAGAGAGAGAGACACGCGCGCGCGCGCGCGCGCGCGCACACACACACACACACACACACACACACACACACACACACACACACCTCTTCAGCAGCTTCAAAGTCTCTAGGATTTGTGTGTGGGGGGGGGGTGAGGTGCTTTGGCATAGTATGGGGGGGGCGCGGGTAAACTCAAGTGACGCAGCTTTCACGTGACCAGCTGGGGCCCAACCTAGGCATTAGCCTTTGCGCCTGCCTGATCGCGCGCCCTGCAGTTGGATCCCTGCATCCGCACAGAACTCTGTTCTGGGTGGCGGGTGATCCCTTAGAAGGCTTCCGTGAGCTAGAGGACACACGCAGGCCTGTCCTGGGTCTTTGAAGGTCAGTGTGAAGGCAGGGGCTGTCATCAGACCCGGGGCAAGGATGGAGGTGGGTGGCAGCAGGATCCTTCAGCAGTTGGCTGGGGGCGGGGGAAGGGATCAGCGAGATCAGTGAGGAGGGAGACCCGGAGCGGCAGGGACTGAAGGGCCTTGCAGAAGTCCAGGTGCCTTCTCGAACCTCCGCCCCATTCCTCCATCCATTTTAGAGCAAGTCATGCGGTGGGGGGCAACCCTGCAATGCGACAGTGAAACGTAGATGCCTTCTGGAAATAACCCCCTTCTCATACTCTGCACCTATGAAATGGAACTGCATAACCTGGGCAAAAGCGGGGAAGGGGTGAGGCAGGTTGCCTTCGATAGGGGGACATGCAGACCCAAACATAGTGTGCAAAGTATCCTGGTTTGATGCCCAAGACCTGAAAAGAAATGGCGACTTGAAGTAGAGGAGAAGGTTGAGTGAGGAAGGCCTGGATTTAAAAAAGGGACCCCAGTCCCTGTCAGTCCTGAGCGCCCTGCCCCGGCCCCCGTATCCTGTCTGCAGGTCTGCGCATCTGTTCCCAGAGCTCTGGGAGGCCTGTAAAAGAGAAGCAACCCGCCCAGGATCCCTGCAGGTCAGTGAGGCGGGGTGTGCAGCACGGACAGGGACCCAGAAGGGGTAAGAGTGCGGAGGGCACAGCCCCGGGAATGCTTGCTGTAGGGGGAGGAATGTGTGGTAAGGGGCTTGCAGAGGCACACTTGGAGGGCTGGGCAAGCTAAGAGGAACCCTCACAAGGTCAAGATGCAATACCCTGTGGACCTGTGTTACAGCCCCATTCAGTTTCCCATGTCTCTTCTTAGTCTTCTCTTCTCTTCCCCCATTCCCAGGACAGGAAAAGGAGAGGAAATCGTGACATGGAAGAACTCTACAGTGAAAACAGAGGAACACCTTCCAACCAAGGAAAGAAGGAAAATGAAGAACAGCCACAGGATGAGGAAAAGCCAAAAGGAGCCTGTACCTTGAAAGACAAGGAAATATTAGAAAATGAGGAAAAGACTGCACATCAGGAAATGCTGAAGGATAAGGAAAAGCCAGAGAGTGAGAGAACAGCAAAAGAGGAAGGAAAGCCAGAGAGAGAGGGAAAGGTGGAAAGTGAGGAAAAGCCAGAGTGCTCAGGAAAGCCAGAAAGTGAAACAAGGGCTGCAGAAAAGCGCCTAGCTGAGGATGACATACCCAGGAAAGCCAAAAGAAAAACTGACAAGGGGCTGGCTCATTACCTCAAGCAGTATAAAGAGTCCATACATGATATGAATTTCAGCAATGAGGATATGATAAGAGAATTTGACAGTATGGCTAAGGTGAAGGATGACATGAGAAAAAGCAGACAGAAATTAGGGAGGCTTTTGTGGATGCAAAGAAATTTAGAGGACCCCTTCTACCCAAGGGGCCCAAGGGAATTCAGGGGTGGCTGTAGAGCCCCACGGAGAGACCTTGAAGACATTCCCTATGTGTAGTGCTCCTGGCAGGCAATTGCCAGGTCTTGTGTTTTAAGCTAATACATTAAGTGTCTCTTCTGTTACAAGAAGTTCTTTTGACACTATTGCAGCACTCACTTTGTGTTTATGTAGGGAATTTTCCCCATGTGTATTGCAAAGTTATTGTGATTTTGGAAAAATAAAGGAGTTTACAGTATCATCTACAGAATCTGTTTGTTTTTGTAAAAGGAAAGTGTAGTGCATGTGTGCACAGGGAAGATAGAAAGTTTTGATCCCTAAAAGGTTAACAATTGCTTTTCTGAGTTGTGGGCTGTGGGTGATTTTCTTTCTTGTTTCTTTTCAACTTATCTGTTTATTTTTTTCCTAAAGAAAACGAATTTCTTTGGGCTGGGGAAGTGGCTCAAGCAGTAGCGTGCTCGCCTGGCATGTGTGCGGCCCGGGTTCGATCCTCAACACCACATAGAAGCAAAGATGTTGTATCCACCAAAAACTAAAAAATAAATATTAAAATTCTCTCTCTCTTTCTTTAAAAAATTAAAAAAAACAGATTTCTTATCTCACAAAAAGTAATAAGATATTTAAAAATTAGAAAACAGTACATAAATAACAATGGAAAAATTGTTCAATAAGCTTATAAAGGCTGTGGAAACACTTAAAATTCTTGTTGTCAAAACTAAAATTATAGGTAAAACTCCCATTACCTCTGGGACTCATATTTGGAGGAATCTATGGTTATTACAAAACCCTTACTCGTAAGGGACTGTCCTCTTATCTGTCAAATGGGGATAATACTTGCATTCCATAACTGCTGAGTATATCACATGAGGTACAAAGTGTGTGAAATGTGTTAGATTGCCTTCTACTTTATCCCCAGTACTAGCAGAACCAAGACTCCTTTAGACACTTGGAGAAAGACTGGGGTACATCTCACCTGTACCTGGGGTTACGTTCAGGAAGTTGAAAGGTAGGTATTATCCTCCCCTATGTAATACCATGTCTGCTAGGCACTGTGCCCCTTCTCATAAATCTTGCAACCTCCAAAGGATCCCAGTGTTGCTGATGGGCAGGCATCAAGACAAAGCCCCATTGATTTCTCTGGAATCTCCAGTAAGCCAAGTCAACTGTATTCCAAGCCATAATATCTATAGAAATATGGATAATACCCTTTTCCTCACTTTTGAGTTTTACTTACCAAATTGAGTAACATCTCAATGATAACTTTGGCCCCTGATGGATTTCATATTTTTAGTAAAATAATTCTTTCTCGGTCGGTTGATAGCATTTTTGCATGCAGCAGTCTCTCTACCAGATTCAGATGTGAGAGACGGGTAAATTTTGAATAACACACTTGCTATTCTCATATGTCAGTGACTTGTCCAATTTTTTGTCATCCTTAGAAGAAATTTTGTCCTAGGTAACTCTTGGTAGGTACTGCCTTACCAGTTTAATACATTTGTGAATATTAGAGCATTGCTACACAAAAAGTGATCTGTGGATGAGCTGCATCAGCATCATCTGAGAGAAAGTTAGAAAATACAGAATCTCAGGTCCCTACACCAAACATACTGATCAAAATTTTCATTTTAACAATACCCTGAGGTGATTTCTGTGCATATTGAAGTTTGAGAAACACTGGCTTATGCCAGGTGCAGTGGTGCATGCCTATAATCCCAACAGCTCAGGAAGCTAAGGCAAAGAAGGTTGTGAGTTCAGAGCTTAGCCTCAGCAAAAGTGACGTGCTAAGCAACTCAGTGAGACCCTGTCTCTAAATAAAATACAAAGTAGGGCTGGGGATGTGGCTCAGTGGTGGAGTTCAATCACCAATATCTCCCCCCCCAAAAAGAAACACTGGCTTATAAGGAGACTCTCCTCAGCCACCCCACTATTACCTCATGAAATATGTTTCTAGGAAGATAAATATATGCATTATATAATACATACACCACAGATTATTAAGTAGACTTGTGTTGTCAAACTGCAGTTTCATCTCCCTACATTGATTAGTATATCTTAAATTCAGTGAAGATTTGCAATATGTTTAATTAAGTGGTATATAATAAAATCAGAGCCAGATAGTAAATATCAGACTATATTTCAGGTAGATAAAGTGAGTATATTTTTGTGAAATTTGTGTTTCAGTTATGTATACATGTACATGTGTGTACCTGAGTTGTGAATAATTTATTTCTGGCTGTGGGCTGGAGCTTTAAAAAAAATTAGGAAACATTGGATTCTGCTTTTCAAAGCACAATCTGACCTTTATCCTGGTACCCCTAGTGCCTAGCACAGTTCTTAATGAATTTATAAATAATAGTAGCTGAATCAAGAGTTTTTGTCCCACATAATTCCCTATCTACATAAATAACTGTGGAGTCTTCTCTAGTAGCGTTTACTTGCAGTTCCAAAAGGAACACCATGGAAAAGGGCTTGTACCACAAATTTAACCCTATCTCATTTGATTAATGCATTAGTCCTGGGGTTGTACCCAGGGCCTCACACACACTAGAAAATCATTCTATCCCTGAGATACATCACCAGCCATTACTAATGCATTTTTAAGGTGTGTTAGCTTGATACCTATCAAAATCACCAAAAGAAAATGTCAACTATTTGACCCACTCCTAAGTTCCAGTGAATAAATCTCTGGAATCTCTGTTTTATCAGGCATCCTATGTGATTCTAATTCACACTAAAAGGGCATTAATTTATATATTCATTATGATTTCAGTCACATTCAGTGCAAACCATAAAGTAAGCAGAAAAAAGAATTATAGTGTCTCTCTTATTTCTGGATAGTGAGGGAGGGAGGACCTTTCTAAAGTATAAAACAAATTTTGGGAGTAAGAATCCAACAGGCAACAATTACTATATCCACTGAACAGAACCTGCAAGTTTCTTTTAGAGAAAATTATGCCTATAAATAAAGGCATAAGCAAGGCACCTTGTAGTATGTTGTATTTTCTGCTTCAGATGCCCTAAAAACTAGGGTAGCTAACCAGTTTCATTACTATGGGAGACTCATGGGACCACAAATGGCAATGTTTGCAAATCTAAAGTTTATTGAAGAAAAAAAATGCAACATAGAAGTAGCATGGATATACACCATAGCCAAAATCTCATAGCAAGGGATCTAGAATGGCTAGGTATGACTTCCAATCATCTTCCCTCTCTATAAGAGCTCTGAAAAGATGTATTTATTTTGGGTCCAGAAACACTGATGTGTACATGGAACCAGAGAGCACAAAAGAGGGTCTCTGGTACACTGCTGCTTAGGTAGGCATATTCTTTATTTTATTTTATTTTTTATTAGCTACACATGACATTACAATGATCTTGGCAATTCATACATGTAGGCATATTCTTGCTGCATCGCCAGCCCCAACAGCAGAATCCTTGGAAGAAAGGTCCATCTAGATCAGAAACAAATAATCTGACTGAAATTAATAAAACTTATGAGCTGATACAAATCACTCAAAACTCCTCAAATTCATGATTATAAGACAATATGCTTAATTCAGCATGCTCTATGCTTTTACCATGGGTCAATATCCATGTGAATTTCTTATTTTAATAAAAAATTTTAAGCAAATCTCAATTCTGCCCCAGATAACCTTGAAGAATAATGTTTTTTCCCTTTCTCCTTACAATGTATATAAAGCTAAATAGAGGCGCTCTTTTCCAGTGCAGGCACTTTTCCCCATGACCATCACTAATTTGCTGCATATTTCCTCATCTTCCCATCCTGGTTCAGTCTCCATTCTTCTCTACCCTGCTCTGTGATCCAAGGAAGAGAGGCCTACATGGACCACATCAGATGGCTCTTTTGATCTCTTGAATCCCGTAATGGAGAATGTGGTCAGGAATTTTTTCTTCCAACTTGTTTCCTGAAGGTGTCAGCACATGCTAGCAGAGTCCTTTATCTAAGGTTCCTAGGAGGTGGCTTTCTCCATAGGCTCTGTATATTTAGTAGCCTCTCTTCATTTGTCTTTCAGGCCTGCTTCATGGAGATGAAATAATTATCACAAACATGTGGGAGTATGTGTTCATATAGAGTATGCATAGGGAAATGAGAACATTGGAGGTTAAGAACACATGTAGAGCACCAGAAAGCTTTCATGGTAGGTTTGAGAGAGTCTTTTGTCTTAGGGCAGGCACAGCTGAAGACCAAATCCAGGTCCTTGTAGTGTTGCAGTTCCATTGACAATGAAATGCTCCATCTGCTATGGCTTTTACAATAAATTAAGAACAGTAGTAGGGATGGAATGGAACCCTTATGTATGGGATAGGGGCATTTGTGCAGGCACACTCTAAGCCATTGTGAAATGCATTGGTGAGAGGGTTATCAGCATCCTTAAAGATTTCTGTGTGTCTTTATGAGTTGAAGGCGATAGTGGAGAATGCTGCAGTACAATTTTACTACCTAATCTTAATGTGAATTATTGATTCCCAGAGTGGTGGAAGACAGGTAACAAGGCTTAATTAGCTAAGGCAAAGTGAGTGCAACACCAAAATAAGCCACAGTAATAAAATGCTAATGAGAGGATTTTTGACCTACAAGGATCTGTCGTGATGGTAATAAGAGCATTCCTAAAGTGAGATAATTGGACAACCTGTCAGATGCTGCCTGACATATTTAGGCAGAAAAGAAAGTAGGTATGTTAGAAACCCTAACTCAAGTTGTTGTAGTGGTGTTTCTCTACTTCATTCCTAACAAATGAGAAGGCAGGCCCTCTATAGCCACTGGTACACTATGAATCTTTCATCAAAATTTCCCCAGTGAACCTGCAAATACTTTCCAGGTTGACTGTGCACTAAGACAAGAGAGATACCAAGACATTGTAAGAGTGATTACTAAAGTTTTTGAATTGATGGTAATCTCTGGATACCCCAAACTGTATCATAACCCATGATCATATTAAAGAGCTTTTGGAAATGACTGACTAAGGAAACAATTGTTCTCTTTTTGAAAAGTAGCTCCTGTATGATAGAAGGAACCAAATATCTGACTATGGAATTCCAGATAACTAATGTATCCTAAACTGCTTATCAGGAGCAGATCCAGCAAATCACAGAAGAGATGTACACAGAAGAATTCAGTTTAAAATTGAAATTATAGATAAACAAATGAACCTAAGGATGAGTACAAGGCACAAGAAAATGGCACAAACAGGATGTTCAGACTCTCAAGATAGCTTTTCCTGCT